TCATAAGGACCATACTAAGCACTGAGCATACAAGGCCATAGTTGAAGAGAAAACTAGTAAATTCTGAATGTCTCCATACTTATTTTTGCTTATTTTATTTTATATCTTCTTTAGCTAGCAACAATATTCGGGAATACTGTTACCTAAGAGCCAACCATGATTGGACATGTACAATTTACAAAACTTTGTTTGCACGCTTCGCATGGTCCTGCGAGACCAATTGCTATCTACTATATTCTAAAAACAAATGCGCATGGCTAACACAATTTAAAAAAATAAAAAATAAATTATTAAAAACATTTGGAGAGGGGATAATTTTTAAAAAAATTATTGGACAGGAGGAGATGAAATAGACTTTTAGACTTAATATCATTAGACAAAAGGGTCTCAATGCGGATTTCGATTTTTTTTATAATCTTTCATAATGTTTTCTAAACAAAATTCTCTGCCTTATCTTTCCTTATCTTCTCAGAGTTTTTACATTCTAAAATATTTTAATTGAGTCATTGTTTTTTATAATTAATTTATATTTTTAATTTAAAAAAATTAATTAATTTAGTAAATGTAAATTTTAGCACAATGGAGTGTAGTTTATATATTTCCTTTTTAGGATGTCTTGAGTATTTTTTAATAGTATGAAATAAACAGATTTTATATTGTTTTACTGTTTTTATATTATTTTACTGTTTTTGTTTCATCTTTCTTATATCGGTACTGTTGATTTAAGGTTATATGTTTATGTATGTTTTATTTTTAGCATTTTTTTTATGTTTATTCTAATGATACCGTTAGAGTTAATTTTTTAGAACCCCTTGTCTACCCCATTTTATACATTCTGTTTATACTCACATGTATGTCAGCATTAGGCGGAGGAGTGTGGTTTAAAGTATGATTTACAATGGATATTCCAAAGACTTTCCCGACAAGTGATTCTATGGATAAATATATAAAAAGATTGATAGATTGACCCATTCATGGAATTTTATTCTGAATAAGGGTTGGTCAGAGTGTGTGGTACCAATTCCACCCAGGGCATAACCCTTAAAATTATATATGAATCAAAGTAAGGGAAATCCCTATTGAGAGATCCCTAATAAAGTATTTGAACAAAGATAAGGTAACTGTTTGGAATATACTAAACAGTAAATAGTGTGTCACTGGTCTACACTATAGCCAATCGACAGTTTAGTAGATCTCTCCCCTTTACAATTTTTCTTTTCTCAAATTTGATTTCATCTTACCACTGGCTTATTTTGCCTATGAATTCAGTAACTATAGAGAGAGATACTGCTGGGGATTTGGCATTCTTTATAATCTTAGTTCCCCCACATAATGAATATACTCCTTTAACAAACAGATAAAACTGTTGTTCAAGTGTTCAATTTTGGCAAAGAGAAATAAAGCTAAACAAACTAGTCTAGACAGTCACGTGAATAATCTGCTGCTAAATTGTATCTATTTCCTCACACACTATTTACTGTTTAGTATATTCCAAACAGTTACCTTATTTTGTACAAAAACCATAATAGGGGTTTCAGGGCCGCCATCAGGGGGTGACAACCATGACAGAATATTGCTATCTATGTGTGCAGCCGCGGGCCCCCAGCTCCCTGTACTTGCAGACAGGGCCCAGCGGACTGCAAGTGTACTTACAAGCTCTTCCCTCTCTGTAACTCCCGCGAGACGTGCGACCGTCGTAGCGTTGCCACGGGTTACCATGGCAACGCTGCACGCGGCACTCACGCCGCGAGTCTCGCAGGAGTTACACAGAGGGAAGAGCTTGTAAGTACACTTGCAGTCTGCTGGGCCCCCATGGAATCTAGTAGTGTATGCAGTGTGTGTGTGTGTGTGTGTGTTGTGTATGCATGTAGTGTAAATGGAGCATTCCCCAAAAAAATTTATTCCCCCCTCCCTGGTTCTTTAGCATTCACTACACTAACACACACACAAACACACACACACACACTGTATTCACTACACTAACACACTGCATACACTACACTAACACACACACACACACACACTGCATACACTACACTAACACACACTGCATTCACTACACTAACACACACACACTGCATTCACTACACTAACACACACACTCTGTATTCACTACTCTAACACACACACTGCATTCACTACACTAACACACACACACTGCATTCACTACACTGACACACACTCTGCATTCATTACACTAACACACACACTCCATTCACTACACTGACACACACTCTGCATTCACTAAACTAACACACACTCTGCATTCACTACACTAACGGACACTCAGCATTCACTAAACTAACGGACACTCTGCATTTACTACACTAACACACACACTGCATTCACTACACTGACACACACTCTGCATTCACTACACTAACACACACACACTGCATTCGCTACACTAACACACACACACTGTATACACTACACTAACACACACTCTGCATTCTCTACACTAACACACACACACACTCTGCATACACTACACTAACACACACTCTGCATTCACTACACTAACACACACACACTCTGCATTCACTACACTAACACACACTCTGCATTCACTACACTGACACACACTCTACATTCATTACACTAACACACACTCTGCATTCACTACACTAACACACACTCTGCATTCATTACACTAACACACTCTGCATTCACTACACTAACACACACACTGCATTCACTACACCGACACACTCTGCATTCACTGCACTGACACACACTCTGCATTCACTACACTAACACACTCTGCATATACTACACTAACACACACTGCATTCCCTACACTAACACACACACACTCTGCATACACTACACTAACACACACTCTGCATTCACTACACTAACACACACACACTCTGCATACACTACACTAACACACACTCTGCATTCACTACACTTACACACACACACACACACTGCATACACTACACTAACACACACTGCATTCACTACACTGACACACTCTGCATTCACTACACTGACACACACTCTGCATTCACTACACTGACACACACTGAATTCACTACACAAACACACACTCTGCATTCACTACACTAACACGCACACACTCTGCATATACTACACTAACACACACTGCATTCCCTACACTTACACACACACTCTGCATACACTACACTAACACACACTCTGCATTCACTACACTAACACACACACACTCTGCATTCACTACACTAACGGACACGGGGGTCTGTTCGTATACTTCTGTCGATTGAGAAGGGAGGTCGGCGGCTTCAGCGGTGTTTGGCGGAAAAAGTGTCCGTTTTCAGTTCCATGAAATCAGTGCCGAACACCGCTGGTCTTTCGCATGGTTAAAAACGGCTGGCGCCTCGTGGTCGACATACGAACGACGACCACCCTGTATTCGGTTTTAATTGAGAAGTGTCTGCGGTTAACCACAACATTCTAATTGGGGTCAAGAGGTTAACCAGCAGCACACTTCTCTTCTGGGTGGCCGTCCGTTCGGTAGTTTGTTCGGCAAAAAACGTCCATTATACAAACAGAGGCATACGAATGAGTAATTCCACGAAAACGGCAAAACAGACGAACCAGCAATCCCAGGTTATACAAATGGATCTGTCACACTGACTGTCACACACTCTCACTGATTTGACACAATCTGACAGACAAACACACACACACAATCACTCACAGACACATGGACAGTCACACACACTCACTCAGACACACCCACATTCACTGACAGACACATTCTCACTCACAGACATACACTGACAGACACACCCACATTCACTCACAGACACACATTGACAGACATACACACAATCACTCAGACACACCCACATTCCCTGACAGACACACGCTCACTCACAGACATACACTGACAGACATACACACACACACTCATTCAGAGAAAACACACTGACAGACACACACGCACTCATTCACAGATACACTGACTCACAGACACAAACACTGTCAGTCTGACAGATACACACACACTCACTCACCCACAGACCCACTGACAGCTATAAACACACACACACACACACATTCACTGACAGACACACACTCACTGACAGATTTACTCACAGACACACTGTCACAGACTAACATACACACACACACACACTGACAGACAGACACACACACTGACAGCCATACACACTCATTTCCACCCAACACTTATTTTAATGTAAACATCTACCTTTGGGAGAGCTGGGTGGATATTTTTCACCTGTGGTCCAGTGAGGCTCCTGGGCTAGCTGAGGCCATGCTGTTGGGTAGACAGTCAGGCATGTGGGCGGAAGGGTGTGTAGGCAGGCGGCCAGTTCTGCCCCAAGCTCTTCCTGCTCAGCTCCCTCGCACGTCACAAAGTAATGCCGGGAGCCGGAGTGACGTCATATTTCGGCTCCCGGCATTCCTCTAGGGACCGCGAGGGAGCTGAGCAGGCAGAGCTCAGCAACCTCACTGCCTGCTTTGCGCGCCCGACTGCATGGGACAGAACTGGCCGCCTGCCTCCAGGGGCCCAAAGGTGACCAGTCGACCAGCTCTTGGGCCCCCTTAAAACGAGGTATTTGCTTGGGCATTTGGGGGCGGCTTTTTGCAGCCCCCTGGAAAGTGCCGCCCAAGGCAAATGCCTTGTTAGCCTCGCAGAAGATACACCGCTGTACACACATTCATTATATAATTATCTATTAGTTTAGATGTAACATGTCTTCATATTTTTATTATTATTTTTTTTTAATGATAATTCATTTTGTTATGTCAATGCCTCATTACTATGTTTACTTTAAAAAGCCTCCTTAATTTAGCAAGCTTGCAGATTTAGTTACAAAGTACATGATTTTTATCTTATGTCAATAGAACGCCCCTCTGTTCTGTTTGTCCTAGGTTAACCTGACATAGAACCACATTACTTTTGACATGTATATTTATTATTGATTAACTATGGACATTAACCTGCTTTTTGAACCAATCAATTGAGATGAGTTCGAAATCTGTGCAGAGTGTTCTGTGCTGTTTTTAGATCTCATCTCCAAAGGCACCTGGTGGTATCCCTGTTTGCCTCTGTCTGCTGCCTGCGTTTCTGGTCCCAGTCTTCGGGGTGAAATGGGGGACAGGAGAAAATCCTCACAACACCTAGATGTGTTTGAACTGCCCATGTGCAATATTTTGACAATATTCAAGTCTCCCTGTGACTCTTCAGATGAAAATGAGCTACTAGAACTTGGCTGAGTAAAGTGTGCTGTACAAGTATATGCAATGCCACATCTATCTTTTGCTGCCTTGCAACAATTTACCTAATACAATGTTTTATTAATATATTTCACATTGTATGATTCCAATGTAGGCCTCTATGTAATATTTTTTTGATAAAGTGATGTAATATTTTTAGATAAACGTTTAAAATGTGTTTTTCAAATATGAAAATATCAAAAAATGTATCATATATATATCTACCATCTGTTTGATTTCACTTCCTTTTTGTCTGTGTGTTAATTGGTGGACATTTTTTTTCTGAAATTCACTTCTTAGTTGTCGTATATCCGCATGATGTTTTACCTTATAAAACGTAGCTCTGTTTATTTGTCCTTTATTGCCTGGGAAAGTGAAACAGAATACACATATACCTGCTTTGATCTTGCCCTCTCGGAAGTAAGGTACTGCCAGGTCTTTTGAACACACTTTTTAAATAATGCTTTGAAAAGTGTCCAAATGGCAGACCTTGTATTTCTGCCAAGTTAATGCACAGAGTCCTCAGATTGCATTTGTGATTATAGGTTACATTTTAACTAATAAAGCAATACCTTGTATTTTTATCTACAGCTAAATCAGTGATTGTAAGCATGTGCAGGTTGACTAATGAATCACTACACAAAAGTATATCCTGTCCCCTCGTTATTTAGTATCGTTAAGAAATATCTTTGGCTGTGAAGTATCACTGTCAGAATTATTAAATAAACCAGTAAGTGTGAAGAATCGACAATGGGAGTGTACATTACTGCTGTACTTTGATTTTAGAACCATAGGAGATTTTTTTAGATACAGACCTATGAACATCGTTTCAGGGTATCAGCCAACCAGGAACCAACACTTGATCCATGCCTTGAGTTTGGTTGCTCAGTAAATTGATTTTTGGAAATTTTGAAAACTTGAAGGCATCGTTATAGTGTGGTGGCTACCTTTCCAGTTACACGTGTGTTGGGGATAAAATCAGCTATACACGAAACCCTCTTTGTTAGATGGATATTTTGTCGGAGCCACACCCTCTTTGTTAGACAGGATCCTGGGAATCAGTCAAGAAGACAAGAGATGTGTTCTATAACCAGTTCAAATTTTATTAAACGTCAGTTATATTTATACGGCGGCTCGAGGAACAAAAGTGGAGGTGAGCTTCCCCAAGTCATTTTCCAAAATAACATCCACTGGCAAGTCTTGCATCATCCCCACCTCCACGTTCCCGGACCCGCTCCCCAATTCAAATGTATCTTGGCAGTGGGAACCTTGTAGATTGCTCCCCCTGCCACCCGTACTGCTACACAATCCCCCATAAGTTGGTCTTTTGGGACAAGGTGATTTCGGACCAAGGTGATGGTGGCCCCGGAATCTTTCAGTCCTTCCATACGTTTCCCTTCTACGTGGACAACTTGTCGATGGCTTTGGCGGTTGTCGGATGCCGCTTGAACAGGGTTAACTTCGTGGAGAGTGCCTAGAGGTTCCTCCATCTGGGTGGCTGTGGAGGGCTGGATAAATGCTCCCATCTGGTAGCAGTGTACTGCAGCTCTAGGGCCAGGCGGTTGCCCTGTTTCGGGGGTATTCTCTTTGTACATGCCCTAGTTGGTTGCATGTGTGGCATTGGATGTGTGTCCGGCTGGGGTACCTTGGTTGGTACTGGTTGTTGCCCCCCCCCGATCGTGGGTGAGCTGGATCGGCCAAGGCAGGCCGGTGGGTGATTGGCTGGGAAAATACCTTAGGCGGTGGGCGCTGCTCTCGCCTAGTGTCTTGGTGTTCATCTGCTAATTTAGCTGCGTCTTGTAAGGTACACGGTTTACGGTCCCTTACTCAGTTCTGCAGATAATCTCCGGTAGAACTGTTCCAACAGTAGTAGTTGCATGATCTCTTTCCGTGTAGTTTCTTGCACTGCCTCAATCCACCCGGTGGCTGCTCGTTGTAAGCAGAGCGCAAACTCAGCGTGGGAGTCCTTTTCCTGTTCTTTCAGGTCCCGGAATTGGAGTCGGTATGCCTCAGGGATAATGGCATACCGGACTAGGATGGCTTGATTTACCTTCTGGTAATCTCTGCTGTCCTCATCAGGCACGGCCCGGTAGGATTCCGCTGCGTGGCCAGATAATTTACCGGCAAGCAGGGGTACCTGATCCTGGGGCCTGATATCATGCAGCTGGCACAGTCTTTCAAAGTCCTGCAAATATCCCTGTATCATGCTGGGTGAAGCCAGCGACTCCCCTCTGGCTTGCTGGTTTGGTTGGACCCCTCTGGCTATGAGGTATTCTTGTACATCTGCCATGATCCTGTCGAAAATTTCTGGGGATGGTGTAGTTGGGTACAGGGCCAACCTACTTCTGAATTCTTTCTGAAATTCAGTTTGTTCCTTCTCCCTTGAAGGTGCTGCAGCAGCTGCGGCTCTGTCTCCTTCCACGAGCTCAGAAATAAGGGTAGCCTTTATCTTGTTGCTGGCTATTGTTCCCCTTGCCTCCAGTAATTCCTTTAATGTGTGTTTCCATTCACCGGCTGTTCATGTGAGTCCACGTTGTGACAAAACCATCTGTCTGCTTGTATTTTAGTTGCATTCGTCTGTTTGTCTCCCGTTCGTATGAATGGCTGGTTTCTATAGCCCAGCCATTCGAATGACTCTTTTTCCCGAACAAACCTGCTGAACGGACGGCCACCCAGGAGAGAAGTGTGCTGCTGGTTAACCTATTGATCCCAATTAGAACGTTGTGGTTAACCGCAGACACTTCTCAATTAAACCGAATTCAGGGTGGTCGTCGTTCGTATGTCGACCACGAGGCAGCGGCCATTTTAAACCACGCGAAACGCCCAGCGGTGTTTGGCTCTATTTCTATGGAACTAAAAACGGACACTTTTTCTGCCGAACACCGCTGAAACAACGGAACGCCTGGCTGTCTCCACGAAAGCATACGAATACCGGCCGTTCGGGAGGTTTGGAGCATACGAAAAGACTTAACCCAGATAGCCTTCCCATGGAGTCATTCGTATACCGAAAGACTGTAAGAACTTTGACTCCATGGCGATTGAACTATGTGTGTGGGATCTGAGCGCTATTCGCTAATAATATGCACTCAGATCCAGGCTATCTGGGGATATGTGATACGAATGGGAAATGTTCGGTTATTTGAAAGTTATGCATTTTTATGTCTTTTATGATTTTATATTTAAGATGGCGACTGGCTTTGTCCTGGAGATAATTGAGTTACTTGGTAATTATCTCCAGGGCAGAGGGGAGGGAATCATAATGCACTGTGGGTAAAATCTGTGACTGTGTGTCTGGAATGTCCCCATATCTGTCTGTCATTTAAGTCTCCCATTTGGTCCCCTAGGGGAGTGTCCACCAAGTGGGAGACCTACATAAATACGGGCAGGTAGCCCACAGTAAAGCCAGATACTGTTTGACCCTCAATGTAGAGCTTCTGTCTCGTTATTTGGGGGATTTCTTCTTCACGTTTAGAGACTGCTGGATGGAAACGAAAGCCACTTGGTGGATATTGTTGTTCGGCGGCTAGCAGCAGTTCGTGTATTGCCGTTCAGGAGTTTGGAGCCGTTCACGGATCCCGGTCGGGAGATTGCCGCTTCACCTGCATTTGGTTCGTGTACTACAGGTTAGGCGATCGGAGTTACTGTTACTGCAGACGGGGAAGGTCTACTAAACGGCGGTTTTGCCTAAAGACACTGGAGGTGTCTTAACACACGTATTCCCGAACTCCGGTTTCATGCAAATGGTTATCTCAATAATTTCTGTTTCTTTTCCTCTGTTCGCGTCAATTTCTGCTGAACTCTGCTTTGCTGTGTGGTTTAAATCCCGTCGCTTGCCACCAATTGTAGCGGAGTAGTAGTATTATCCACGGTATCTCCGCTGTCAGACAGAATAAAGCAGGTACAAAGTAGACATAATCCAGGTAGCGTAGTTACAATCCCTTTCTCCAAAGAACTAGACGACACATAGCTTGGAGGTCAACTGAGGTTTTAATCACAGGTCACAGTATTTATGTGGTTACAAATATAAGGGGTTTCCCAAGTCACATTACAGGGTTTGTCCAGTAGGGGACTACATGGGGGACTGAGTTTACAGACAGATTACCAATCATACTCTGCTGTACCAAGGAGATAATTACCCCAGAATGCATTGTTAATGGAATTATGTCTTGGTACAGAAAAATACAGTTTTTACATTAAAATCCATAACTGACATAATATTCCTGCTATGCGGCTAATAAACCCCTTATTACATAGCTGGGACCTGAGCGCACGATTAAGGGAACTTGAGCTCAGATCCCAGCACAAAGAACCGAACGCCGTTCATTTTACATGACCAGGACCACTTGGTTTAAAACGGTTGTATTAACTGAGGGAATGAGATTCCCGAAAGAATAAAACTCCCGAACGGCATGGAAGTCCAGCAGGGCTTGTGTTGGCGAGTAGCCAAATTTAGTTCCAGGCACTTGACGACAAAACCACGCTGACTCTCTGAGAACAAAGATGTCCGCCGCCACGTGTTCGGTACACGAACGGCGGCCACCCGCAACATACATTAATTAGCACGGATACACTGTTGCAAAGTACCCAATTGGAGACACACGACCTGCTGGGGGTGGTCTCCCATTCGGTGCATTGCTTGTTCTACGAACAGTGTGGTGATTCACTGTTCGTGGATAACCAAGCTGAATACTAGCGATATTCGTGTGCTGTAACACACGAATGCTTCATACATTGATCTTTTATTCGGGGAAACAAACAATACGGGCAATAGCATAAAATATACAGTTACACTCAGTAAGTGGCTAGATTTGCCACACGGTCGTTAGATCAAATTGAATGCAGACATCGTTGTCCTGTACGGGTATGAGCCTGTGTGATGAACAAATGGACAGCACTGTAGTGAGTTGAGTGTATGAGAGAGCCGCGCTCTCTAATAATGTGACCGAACTCTGTGTCAGCGTCCGGCTGATAGCCTGAGCGGGCCTGCACTCTCTAATAACAAATCAGTGTCCGGTTCCGTATATGAGAGGGGTTCACTCTCTGTTCGTGAAAATTAAAATATCGTTCTTGGATCGAGGTGATGGAGGGTGGCACCCTCTTGTAAACCAAACTAGAGTCCCTTAGAGCAGTGTTTCCCAACCCAGTCCTCAAGGCACACCTACCAGTCCAGGATTTAGGGATTACCCAGTTGTGTCTAAGGTGTTTTTTTTCTTCTTTTTAAAAACACCTTAGACACAACTGGGTAATCCCTAAACCCTGGATTGGTAGGCGTGCCTTGAGGACTGGGTTGGGAAACACTGCCTTAGAGACCCAGGGTGACCAACTGCAGGGGTACACCATTTGCTAATATCAGTATAAGACTGAGATCCTGAGGTGGGTATCTCTCTGATCACAAGAATCACCCAGCAATAAACCAGAGCGATGGAATAGTATACAACCACGGCCTCGTCCATCCTAAATAGCAGAAATTGATAGTTAGAAAATGCAACCTTCGCAAACAAAGATGGAAACATTGCCAACAGACTGCCCGGATCCCGCGCGCGCGCGCGGGGTCCAGGATGACCGTCGGTAGCCTGAGGAAAGCTGGAGACGTTCTCCGCAATCCACGAGAGCCCGGGAGATCGGGGGAGGTCAAGTCAGGCCGCTCAACGACCTGAGCGATAGACCAATTGGAAGGCTCGAAAACCAAGAAACGACAAATAAAGTAGAGAACGGTAAATACGTACCTCAGGCATCTTAGCACTGGTCCCCGCCTGTGCGAAACTCTCCTTGGAGATGTGCCACCACCGGGTTGGATTAAACTGCAGTGGCGCACCCGGGGATCCTCATAAAAAACCTTGCCCCTCAGGGCATGAGGTTTAGGGCCTTCACCCTTCCAAACATATTGAGGTGCCCGTATACTGGTGTCCTCTTGGATAGTAAGGCAACAGTGGTTGCCCACCCATCTCCATGTCCATAGTGGGTACTGGGATTTTCTTAGTGAGATCCTCCCAGGCCTGCGGCCTAAAGGGGGTTTCAGGCCCTGATAGCTCAGGCCTAACAAAGGGCACAGATAGAGGAGGCCAGTCAGAAGGGCACGGACATAGCAGGCCGATCAAATGGGCACAGACTGATATCAAGATATCAAGAAAGCACTTATGTGTACCCCAGCCCTAGGCCTACCCGATCACTCGCGTCCTTTCTACCTATATGTGCATGAGCAAAGAAGAATGGCTGTGGGAGTGTTAACTCAGTACTTAGGATCATGGCAAAGCTTACTTGTCCAAACAACTGGATGCGGTGGCTAGTGGTCTTCCACCTTGTCTACGAGCAGTGGCTGCTGCAGCTTTGTTGGTAGCGGAAGCTGACAAACTTACATTGGGTCAGGAACTCTGTGTGCGAGCACCTCATGCAGTACAGACCCTACTGGATTACAAAGGTAATCACTGGTTCAGCAATAGCAGAATGACCAAGTATCAAGCTATGCTATGCGAGAATCCAAGAGTACATCTTGAGACTGCCAACAATCTCAATCCCGCTACCCTTCTGCCACAGACTGCTGAAAGTCAACATTACTGTCTGGGAATAATGGATGAAGTATTTTCTAGCAGGCCAGATCTCCATGATTTTCCCATCCAGAACCCAGATATACAGTACTATACGGATGGTAGAAGCTTTGTGAAAGAAGGTATTCGGTATGCAGGGTATGTGGTAACCACCATAGACAAGATGATAGAAGCACGACCATTGTCGAAAGGGACATCAGCACAGAAGGCGGAATTAATTGCACTGACAAGGGCCTTGCAACTAGCTGAGGGGTTGAGAGTGAACATCTATATGGATTCAAGATATGCCTTCTTAACAACTCATGCCCATGGAGCATTGTATAAAGAAGGAGCTGTAAAGGTGGCAGAGGTGACACCTTGGATTCATCACTCTAGGTTTAAACCAGCGGCAGATTCCTGGCAAGCTACTCCAGATCGTGAGAATCCTTGCAAGATCCGGTTGAAGCGCATGACCCAGTCGAATTGAGCGTGACTTGAGAAGTAAGAGGTGATTTTTGAAGAATCGTGGTTGAAAGTTGCAGAGATCAACAAGTAGGTGTTTTGACAGCCATAATAAAGCCTGCCTACGTTTCATAGTCAGAGTATCTCGAAGGGACCTCTGTGAAGGTAAGTGAGGATCAGAAGTACTACAATCCTTGCAGCCCTCACAAGCGGGAAGCTGAGGTGCCGTCGCACGGTTGAAGAATTAAGATGAGGATCACAAGAATAATGTGTTTAATTATGTGCTTTAGTATTTTTATGATTTTTCTGGAGGGTAAAGGTAAGGATATTCCAAGCTGTGTTAGTTGTATTAAAACTACGAAAACAGGCAACCAGATATCCCAGACCCTAATTTGGCACTCACAATATGAATATAAGGGATCTGTGTCTAGGTGTAGGTACTTAGATACTGATTATCCGATATCAGGTGAGCCTAAGTGTTTCAATCCCCAATTCCAACCCCGTACAATTTGGTTGGTAATTCGAAATAGTAACTCTCAGGGGACATTGATAAATAGGACTTTGATAAGCACCATACATTCTACGGGTATTCTATTATTTGATGCATGTAAGGTGATTTCGGGTAGTGGAAAACCTTGGAATGTATGTGGTAATCTTAAATGGGAATGAACTTATGGGTTCAACAACAAATATTTATGCCCTAGGAAAAGATCTACTGATCCGGACTGCCCAAATAGAGACTTTAACTGCTGCCCATATTGGTCATGTGTAGGGTGGGCGAAAGATAGTAGATCAAGACATGATTATCCAAAGGTTGCCCACTACACCGTATTGTAAAACCATGAAATGTAATCCTGTACATATGACCATTTCCAATCCACAGCAATTTATTGATACGTTTGGGAGTCTTTTTGGGTTTCAGATACATGGTACAGGAACAGATCCGGGAGCCATATTATATGTAGATATTGAAACCGAGACAACAGCTGCTCAGACTCATTAGGTTCTCCATTCCTTTTATGAGGAAATGAGTGTTGAGGATAAAATTCCCCATAATGTTAAGAACCTATTTATTGATTTGACTGAGAGTATTGCAGGTAGTCTTAATGTAACTAACTGCTTTGTATGTAGAGGTACTAATATGGGAGACCAATGGCCATGGGAGACAAAAGAAATTTGGTACCCTGGTTAGGAGACAGATGAACAACAGATGCCTGCTCAGTCTGTGTCAGGATTACAGAATGATCCAGCACGTAGAATTGTGTAACACAGAGGACTGATAGGTAATGTATACTGTCAGGATATTTATATCGGCAGACATTTTGTGCTAAGAAAGAAATTAAAAGTGTATATTGCCAGAGTCACTCAGAACAGAGCAGACTCCATTTTGCTATCTTCAGGATAACAAAGACACATAATTTCCTTGCTTTCACTAACCACTGAGCCTGAGCTAAGGAATGCATTATATAAACACTGACACTAGTGACAGAGAAGACTAAGTAATTAATTTTACTTTCTAAATCTTACAAGGTCCCATTGTAAGTAAGGGGTGAAATTGAGTTTAGAACTGTCAATTTTAGAAATTACGATCAAAGTAGTTGCCGCAAAGACTGAGACAAACGCTTTGAACTGACAGCAAATTTAAGTTATGGTAGTCATTTTAGATAAGCCAAATGACGTCAAAATCGTCATCAGGAAAAGATAACTCTTTCCTGGATAGGAAGGTTTAGTAAGGCGAGACTGCCCTCTATGGACCAAATACCTAAATTGCGATCCATAGATTGAACACACCTTCAGGCTCCTATTGGCCTTATCAACTAATGATGTACAGAGAGTCTGGCCCTTTAAAAGTTAGGACAAAGGGAAGAGAGAAGTTAGTTGGTGGAGTTGGGCATTCAGATTCGGGCATGCAGAGAGAGAGATTCAGGACACTCTCTGGGACTAACACTCAACTCTTAAACTCCTTGACACTTAAAATTTACTGATACTTTCTAACCAACATCACTTTTCTCTATTACTCACGCACCTCCATACAACCAATCATACTCGCATTTTCCTGAGACTACCTACTCATCTGATGAGAATATCTACATAACTGGTAATTATGCTGGTTTTATTTAATTAATTTAAATTAATTAAAAATTTACTAATAGCATGATATATGACTGGATAAACCACGGTTAGATTTCAATATTTAGAAATCTTAGTTAACTAAAGAATATATATGTAGCGGAGATGCAATATTTCCCAGGTTATCTCCGCTTATAATCCAAGTGAGGCTCAGGAACAAGTAAATAATAAATCCAAAGGCAAGGTTTCCAGCAGGTAAAACAACAGCAATATCCCCACAGCAATCCCAATAACTGGACGACACACAGTTTCAGGAGCAGAACTGAAAGCTTTAATCCACAGTCTCCTTTTTAAAGCATGCTCCCATGCAAGGGAGGGATTTACAGTAATTATTACAGTAGCCAATCCTGTCCTGGTAACCTCCCACCCATCTCCTCCCCTCAGCCAGCATCATAATCCCCTTATCCAGTACAGTAATTCCCCCCGTTTCTGGATGTACCCCTAAACGTAGGGGTACCTCTTTAAATCCTACATCCCCGGATACCCCTGATCTGGGGGAACAACATATCCAAAAATCAACCAGATCAGACCAGGGGTTCGGGAAATGTATGGAGGGAATAAAATGACCGACCGCACTAACTGAGACAGCCGAATGAGGTTCCATGCGAATGGGCCCTGCGGTCGGTCCTGGCATAAGGGAACAAAATACACGAAAGCCTCTAGCTATAGAGGCTAGGGAGGGTTCGCCTGAATCCCCTCGTTCGGTATTTTCTATCTACCGAACGAGGGGCCGTTCGGTAGTTTGGAACCGAACGGACCAGGGCTGTGGAGGTCTCAGCGGTGTTCGCCTACTCGAGTGTCCGATTTTAGTTCCAGACACTCGACGGCAAAACACCGCTGTTCGGGAGTTTTAAAATGGCGCCGCCACGTGTTCGTTTGTCGAATGGCGGCCACCCCCGAGAACAAAGGACGGCTACTTCCTAGTCAATTACCCGTTCGCAACAATGTTGCAACGGGTAATTGAGGACACACTTCACACAGGGGAGGTCTGGTTGTTCGGTATTTTCATTCGAATAAACTAAGGGAATGAAACTACCGAACAATCAGAAGAATACAAGGCTTTTAAAACACATAGAAAATTAGCAGCTCACACGAATGCAATTATTTCAAAGACATTTGCAGAACAGCCCAGTGCCATCCGCTACAATATAGTTATAAACATTCCATTCTGCAGGTGGAATTAAGAATAATTATATATTAATGTGATAGTATCACGTGTTAGCATACCGTTGTTTTTATCTAGGTGTATTGATTTGCTCTAATATAAGATAAGATATCTTTTTAGGCAAATTAAAATTTGGCTTTTGTAAAAATCTGGTAGATTATTCTTATTGGATGGTTCCAGGAAATGATTAATGAGCTGGTTCAAATGTTATTTTAATTGAAAATTACATGAGAATAGGTTATTATATGCCTAGGAGGATCTAGCCAGCATTGAAAGGGTTACTCAGTTGATTTAACTGTTAGCCAAGGTTTCATGGCTGGGCTGTGTGAAGTTTTGTAGCTTTGTAATGTGTTTAGCCATTCCATTGTATTGCATACTTATGTTATACTAAATAGTCACTGATTATTATCATGCCTGCTGCCTAATATTATTGTTATTTTATTTGTCACAATAAATTAAATCTATTTTTATAACAAATTGTTACATGATAACAATCTCTAAGATCTAAGAGAATTGAAATAGTGGGCGATTCTCAACTGTTTAATATTATCATCCCATAAATATCCCCACAATACCGGACCTTAGAATGGCCGGACTAACGTACCAAAGAATAGTCAGGAATAGCCGAGGTCAAGGGATACAGAAAGAGACACAATGATAAGGAAAAGCCAGGGGTCAGGGATGCCAGAAATCAGGGAAGTCAAAAACAATGCCAAAGTCAAATAACCAGAATAACCAAAATCAATAAGGCAGTCTTGGACAACCACAAGGGAAACCACGACAGGGCACTGAGCAGGATGAGAACTGGGCCTAAATACCCCTTGTGGCGATATTAACCTCGCCACTTCTGCCTGGAGAGGACTACTTGCCAGTCTCTTGCCATGTGATTATGGTCCCTGGGAGGTTTGGCACTTTAAATACAAGATTTGGGCTAATGGATTTATATTGTGCTGCTGCTGGCCCTTTAAGAACCGCCTGGGGACATATTGAGACTTTGTGTGACAATACCCCTTTAAGACTATGTCCCCAGTGTCCCCAGACTGTTAATATACTATGTCCCTGGCTTTCTGCCACTTGGTTCAGTAAATGGGGCTTGCTGAACCAGGTACCACACAGGCGGACCACCCAGAAGTGGAAGTGTGCAGGCAATTTACCTCCCAGGCTGGGAGCCTGCTGTAGGTAAATTGCCGAATGCTGGGGGGGCCACCATTCGACACACAAACACGTGGCAGCGGCCATCTTTAATTCAGCTGAAGTTTTACCTTCTCCAGACTTCAATGCATTTGACAGTTTGAACACCATTCGACAGTTCATTCGACAGTTCATTCGACACTTCATTCGGTTGTCGTTCGTCTGTTTGAACTGACTTTAACATGGGGAATAGACCGACCGCACAGCCTGATTCTTGGGAACTGTTTTGGGCATGAAAATGTGCTTGCGGTCGGTCAAACTTGACTTATATCTATCTCCCGAACGGCTGAACGGATTCGAATGATTTTTGGTTATGTTTATATTTAAAGTATGCTGATTCTGAATATTTATGTGAATATGGTGCATATTTTTACAGTTACAGTATATGTGTAAAAAGTGTATTTTTCCTGCCTGTGATAAATTACATTGACCCATTGTGTTCAGTAATTATATCACAGGCAGAGGGGAGGGATTGTATGTTGGGGCTGGGTGTGTTTTACGGTTTTCCTGTAAATGATTGGTTGTACTGTGTCCCACCCTGTGGGATGTCCCCTTGCATGGGGACTTGCATAAAATCCAGTGTATGGTCATTAAAATCATATCATCTTGTACCTTTCTTAAAGCCTTGGATCATGTTTGGGGGATTGGAAAACTACACTCTGGGGATTGCTATAATCACTATACTCCCCAGCTCTGCTAAGAGCTTGTTCCTGTTCCTGCTCTCTGGGGAAAGAGAAGTTCATCCACTGGAATCTGGACCCTGGCATTGGGTCCAGGGTGGGTGGAGACGGTGAGACCCAAAAATGGGAGGGAGCATGTGTGCTAGGTATGCTCAAACCATCCTTCTTCTTGTTACCAATTGAAACGGGAGAGACCTTGGGAGCTAAGGTTTATGATATAAATCATAAAAAGAAGCGAGCATCATTGAAAGTAGGTAACTGGGAAGATGATTCCATTAGTAGTTAGGTCTATACGAAGTGTTATTGAGAGCACTATAGAAAGGAAGACAGCTGCTCATGTAATGGCCATCTGGAAATATGAACCCCTAACCCAGAGAGATACTATTAATAATCAGTGTTGAGAGGTAATGAATGCTTATAAGGTCTGTCCCGGCTCATGGTTACTTGAAACATGTTGGCAAATTATGATTAGTGATGCATCTGGAATAACTTTGTATCAGAAGCATCAAAGGGGGGAATGTGATGGGATTTCAACATGGTTCAAAATTTAGTAGGCCTGAAATTTCCATGTGGCATATACAAGTACAGGTGTTTGTTGTATCTATTAGTTAGTTACATGTAGCTAAGATACTGTCATCAATGTACTGAGCATGTGCATCAACTGTAGTCACATTCCCTTGTCCTTAAAAGGAGTCCTACGGTCTGCCCATATTAGGTGATCCTGAATATCCTGTTCACTGATTGGTCTAAGGGTATGTGTGAGTGGAGCTATGAATGGGAGGAGTTATTGTTAATAAATAGCCTGTGCAAACTATGCTCTGGGCTCATACCTTTTGAACACAAGTTCAGTGTGAGACCCGATCGGTGTGTAAATAAAAGACCTGTTACTTTCTGAAGACTTGTGTCCATATCTCTATGTGTGGCTTCTGTGGTTTGTTCCTGTTATTCTTCCGGGTAACAAGAGTAGTTTTA